TTTAGGAGCAGGCACAGTTTTAATACTGAGGAGTAAATAATTTCTACATTAAAACAATTAAAATACGGTGCTGTCCGTCTGAATCCACGTGAATGCAACATGTTTATCATGTTAGCATGCTACCAGGAGCTAATTAGCAGTAAGTAAAGTGCAGCTGAGGCTGATGGGAATGGAGCTTTATAGGTGTTAAACCAAAGTATTGAACACATTGAAATGTCAGACGATCAATAAAGATATTCTAATTCATCCTAAAGGGTCGCCTGGGAACCAAACTGCCCTCTGTGGGTGCTGGTCGCTAGATAGCATTAAGAATCAAACAGAGCTAATTTGGTGGTCGTAGTGAAGCTCCTCCTCCACCACCTCCTTCTCCTCCTCTTCCTCAGGTGGTGTACTATATCTTCGCCATGGTGGGGATGGAGCTGTTCAAAGGGAAGGTGAAGTTCTTCGAGGAGGACTCCACCGACCCGGACAAGGCCTTCTGTGGAAACACTGATCTGAAAGGAACGGCCTTTGCACAGCTCAACTACTGCAAGAACAACTTCAACAACGTGGTGTCGTCCTTCATCCTGCTGGTGGAGCTCACCGTGGTCAACCAGTGGCACGATATCCTTTACCTGAACGCCTCACGCACACCTGACCGGTGGCGGCGCTGGTTCCGCTGATGACAGTAACGCAGTGTGAACGGAAACTCGAAAATACTTCATTTAAAGAGCTCGTAAATTATAATCACAATTTAAATACCACAGGATGTATAACTTTAAAAACACATTTCTGAATTCTGTGATTTGAATTTCTTCTTTAAAGAGAATTAATAAAAACAACTGTTAGATCATTAAGATTCATTTAGATCATTTTCAGTTTTTTTCAACAAATTCAGATTAGTTTAAAGCTTTAATATGAATTTAAATGTCTAGAGAAATATTTCTGTACAGTGAAGCAACACTTTGTGTTTGTGTTTGTCTGTAATTGGTTACCGAACTTTTGGAGGCGTGGCCTGATGCACTTAACTACAATCCAAATTGGGAACGTTTCATATGTTTCTACCCACAGGGGGCGCTACACTAACAATGTATATTTCTGTTGTCTTTAATAAGATGTAACTTTGTATACAGCTACTAGATACTGACGCATGGCTCCAATAGCTCCACCTTGTGGCCATTAATGTGACACCAGTGTTCTGTGTGCACCGATTATTGATAATATTCTTTAGACGTGAATCAGACTCAGCAATCACTCGCTGTTTCCTCAGGAGAAATAAATATATTGGTTATTAAATATTCTGGTTATTGTTCTTCTGTTGGTAAATTCTCCACAGGCAGAGCTTTGTAAGTGAAACAAATAAACTCGGGGCAGTAGTTTCTAATGGAAATCAGTTGGGGGGCGTGATTGTTGCAGATATAATAATAAAGTGAACAACCTGTCCTTCGATTCCTTAACGGGACTCCACTGCTCAGCAGCGGCTTTGTCGCCGTCACCCACGTGTCGGCCAGGATCTTCTTCATCCTCTTCCACATCATGGTCGTTATCATCATCATCAAGTAAGACTAACAGTATCAGCTCGTCTTTCCCGCCGCCGTCATCATCGTGTCCGTGGTTTGACTTCCTGTTGTCTTTCAGCATCTTCGTGGCGTTTGTGCTGGAGGCGTTCTTCGTGGAGTACTCGGTGGATAAGAGCGACCTGCAGACGTCTCTGGAGAGGAAGATCGAGGAACTGGAACTGGCTGTGGAACAGTACGTTACCATGACAACCGGTCACTCAACACCAGACACGATAACAAACTCTTTTAATTGATTAGATCCCTGAACTCTAATTCCTCAGTTTAGTCCCCAGCATGTAGCGTAGAGCAGTTATTAGCATTAATAATCAGCTGTATGGACGATATTGGAAGTTATTGATGATCCTGAATCCATTTCTGACATTTCCTAAATACAGAACTGAAGATATCTGAAGAAATATTACGTCTGAACACTGAGCTTTATTATTCTAATGTATTAATTATATCAATAACTCTATCTTGTTTTTGTAGCATCATCAATAACCCCCAGAACCTCCTCTATTGTCCATATAGCTGATTATTAATGCTAATGATGCTAATTGTCCAACATAGGCAGGTTAGCATCCGTCAGTGTGACAGCTGGAGACTTTTTCTAACATTAAACTTTAAACGTGTGGATCCATAAAATCCAAGTGTACTTCAGATAAAAGTCGAAGGAAGAAACGTCCTTTAATCCGTAATAATTAGTTCTTAATGAATTTAAAGTACAGCTGGAAGTGTGAACATGTTATTGTGACTGTGGTGTGGAGGCAGCGCTGTCTGCTCTCTGGTGAGGAACACTGAAGACCCTCCGTAGACTCAGTTTGGTTTGTCCGTTCTGGGCCTCTGTAGAAACATGGCGGACTCCACCAGTAGAGGACCCGCTCGCTCTGTCGATAAAAACCTTCTCAGGTTATTAAACCAATGAATATTATATTATATATATATATATATATATATTATATGTTTGGTTTCGTCCATCAGGGAGAAGCTGGAGGACAACTTGGTGAACGCCATGGAAACCATCGACAACGACCAGGGAGCCGGTCAGCCGGTGGACAACAGACCCGCCCTGATGTTTAAGATCGCCTCAAAAAGTAAGAAACAGAGCGAAACCCGAGTCTCGGTGTGTGGCGCCCTCTGTAGGAACATTTTAATCTCATATAATCTCACTGTCGATCGCAGTATTGAGTGTCGGTATTGTTGTGTTTCCAGGGTATCGGACGGTGGACGCTCTGCTGCAGCGGATGTTCGAGGCCGATCTCGACCCCGAAGACTTCGCCGAGAACGACGACCCTGACGGGAACTTTGCGAACCCGACATTCAGCTCAGCGTAATCAATAATGTACAAATCCGTATGAAGGGAAGCATCTCAAAGTGCCAGCGGTCGTATCCAGTGTTATATTTTTATATTTGTCTGTTCAAACACAACTGAAATCTGTATTTTCACATAAAGAATATTTACACTCAGGTTTCATGTTTGTTTATTTCTGACAACACAACAACATTTCTGATCAATAAACCCGTTAACCACAGAGACCATCGTGCTACAGCTGAGCGGCTCAGAGAGGCTAACTCTCCGGTGTGTGTGTGTGTGTGTGTGTGTGTGAGATAAAGGTAAAGATTGCAGTCCGCTGCTGCTACAGCGTCTGAAATCGGAACCACTGCGCCACAATATAAACATACTGAGTATGGGGGAGGATGGGGGAGGTTGGGGGAGCACTGATTGTTATTAGTCTTTAAACTGTTGAACTGACTCCAGGTCAGCAGGGGGCGCTGTGGAGGAAGAGAGAGAGTGTGTGTGTGTGTGTGTGTGTGTGTGTGTGTGTGTGTGTGTGTGTGTGTGTGTGTGTGTGTGTGTGTGTGTGTGGTGCTGATGCTGATGGAGAGATGGAGCAGCAGAGGAGGATCCCGCTCGGCTCCGGTCGGAAAACAACATTCAGGTCAGAAAACAAACAAACAAACAAACAAACAAACAAACAAACATCAGATAGAAAGAAACGGACATCGAACCGGAAACTGGAGCGTGTGTGTGCGCGCGACTCTCTCTCTCTCCCTCTCTCTGTGTGTGATGTGTGTGTGTGTGTGTGTGTGTGTGTGTGTGTGTGTGATGACGGATCAGTTGGATGTGATCAGGAATAATAATCGATCAGATGTATTTGTTGTTGTTATGAGGCGGATGTTTGTGTGCTGGCAGCAGGACAATAATAAACAATAAACAATAAACAGTAAACAGGCCCGACGGAGGATGAGGCGTTCAGGGGCTGGTTAGAGGGTGGGACTCAGCACTGTCAAGGCAGATATAATAAGTGCAGCTCACAGCATCCGGTCCGTATTTTCGAGATAAAAACAGTACTGTAGCATTCTCTAAAATAAAATAAACAACTGTTTACAGACACTCTGTGTTTGTTTGTTTGTTTGTTTTTATTATTATTGATCAGAGTGTACAGTGACAGAGCTTCTGTCTCTGATCAACAGCCGTGTCCTGCATCAGAAACCAATCAGCTGATCGATCAATAAACAGTGAATCTGTCAGAAAGAAGAATATTAAGTCTGATTGTTCAAATGATAAAAATACAGAATACAGACAGAGAATGGATCAATATATCAGGAAAACTCATCCCTGATCAATATTCACTGGAAATAATCAAACTCCTGCAGTGACTGATACTGATCAATATGAAATATAGATAATAAACAGCTGTAGTAAGTCACAGCCGGATAAACACCAATAAATTCATATTGTTTTCTATTGTTATATAAACAAGTTTACACACATAGAAAAATATAATTAAAATAAATACAATTAATTTATTTACTAATTTAATAAATAACTGAAATGAACAAAATTGTTAGTTAAGATAAATAAAATTATGAATAATTTGTTATTTATTTTATATTATGATAGAAACGTAAATAAAAGTTTTAACTGAAATTAATTAATTAAAAAAGTTAAAATGAATACAAATGTTGTATTTATTTTTATATTATTATTTAAGTAATAAATCAAATACAATGAATAAAAAATACTAATAAAAAGAAAATGAAAATATTTTATTTGTTATTTATTTTATTTTAAATATTTGATTAATAATTAAAATAATATAAAAATAATATTAATATTGATTAAAATATTTAAAAATAGAACTGTTTGTATTTTAATGTATATTTTATTTTATTATTTAATCAATAATTAAAATTAATAGCTCAGACTCTTCCTTTGAAAAAACACTTTAATTCAGTTTAATAATAATCAGTTAATAATGAAATCGATGCTGATATTGATGAACATTTACCAACATCTGTAAAAAGATAAATGAACAATATCAAAGGACCGAACTTCCTCTTCGTGTATCAGAAGGGCTTTTATTGTGAAGGCATTGGCCGGATGTTGTTGCGGGGTCTGCTGATGCGGGTCTGACGCTGCTGGATGCAGAGCTGCAGTGCGGACAAACAGGCTGGATCCGGAGAACCTGACACCCCACAGACCGCCTCTGACCGCCGACCCGGGTCCGCCTGCAGCCGGGTCGTGGATCAGGTTTTTGTCCTGGATTTGACTCCCGGATCCGGTCCAGCGGGAGGAGGATCAGTCCGCATCCTCCCATCCTCCCATCCTCCCATCCTCCTCCTCCTCAGCTGCACCAGCGGAGCATCTGAGGAGGACCCGGACCCGGACGGCAGCGGGGTTTTACTGGGCGCTCCTGGATTCTGAGGGGACATTTAAAACCCGTTTCTTTCTGGACTCGGTGCGTCCCGGTCCCGCAGCGGGTCTGGACTCGGTCTGGACTGTTAGAGGAGGAATAAATGGTGGTTTAGTCCTGCGGGAGTCTGAGGCCCAAACCCCGGCCCCCCTTTAGAGGAACGGTGGGTTTTCTGGACCAGGACGGTCTGTGTCAGATCCCAGATGAAGATTCCCAAAAGGCGGAAAAGGAGCGGACGGTGCGCCAGGTAGGCCTGATCCGGAACCGACCTGATCCGGACTACAGAGAGTGTGTGTGTGTGTGTGTGTGTGTGTGTGTGTGTGTGTGTGTGCGCGCGCCGCAGTGAGCGGAAGTGAATTTATTGATCCCTATCGGAGATATTTGATCAGATTGGGGCCTGATGATCATTTAATGGGCTCTGATTCATAACTCGGGTCAGTCCGGGCCAGATTTATTGATCAGCAGGATGAGATGGTGCGCATGCGCACAGAGGACCCATGACTGTGCACTGCAGAGAGAAAAGATTCAATATGGGTGATGCAGAGGGGGGGAGGGAGGTGGGTGGGGGGGGTCAGACCTGGACCATAGCGGAAGTGTGTCACTGAAACAGTCATCTTATTATTATTATTATTATTATTATTATTATTATTATTATTAGTGTTATTTACTATTAATTTACTAACTGTTATTAATAATTATAAACAACAACAATAATGTGATGGAACAAAAGTTAAATAGGATGGTTTACAGTCTGATGTACGGAAGAACTTTTGTGTCAAAATCCATTATTTAAAAACAGATTAATGAACCAAATCTTTAGATAAATAAATAAAAAATCATCAAACAAAAGAAATGAAAAAACTTAATTTAACTTTTATTTTTTCAAAAATGCAACTTGTTTTTTATCTGAGTTTTTATATATTTTTATTTGTCGTAACCATTTCCTGTTTTAACATTAATTAAAACATTTCAGTCTTGATCAGATTGTAATTATTATTATTATTATTATTATTATTATTAATAAATATAAAACACAATTTAATGTCGACAAACTGATGATGACAGCAAATAACAAGCGATCACATCTTCAGATAACTAAAATATTTGAGCAACAAAAGAAACTCAGATATTTCATTTTATTTAAAGTAATTCTGTTTATTTATTATTATTATTTGATTATTGGATCATTTATTAAGTTTTCTCACTTGAATTACACTCAAAGATAATTTAGATAATTACTGTTTTACTTTTGATGAGTTTGTCACAGACCGGAGGACTTCATGCTAACACAGCTTTAATAAAGTTGGAGCGTTTGTCCTGTTAGCAACCGAGCTAACAAGCTAACTGACAGTTTAGCACATTTGCTAGTAAATGTTGTTGTTGTCGCCCTTTAACCTGTCTCACTGCTCATGACTCTGTCAGTCTGTCTGCAAGACGACAAGCAAGCAACTGTTAAAATGTTTGTTTTCTGAATGGAGTTTGGTTGATCAGGGCTACGCTAACTTAGCTCATCGTAAAACCGACAGCTGGAATCAAGTCTTACGAAGTAGAATCGTCTGTAAAAAACACGACATAAAGTAATTATTTTGTTTCTTCAACTTCAAAGTAAAGTTATTTTATGTAGTTATCTCCCCGTCAGCTAGCCCTACCAATCAAAGACGCTGCTGTTGCACTGATGGATTGTGGGTAGTGTAGTACTTCTTCTTGAGATCAGGTATAAAACGCATTTTTCTTGAATCAAGGTTGATATATAAAAATAAACCATTGTTTCACAGGCTTGTAGCTCGTGGTGAGGCTAGCATCACTGCCGAGCTCTGTATGGATACGATAGGATACGATACGATAGGATACGATAGGATACGATAGGATACGATAGCATACGATAGGATACGATACGATAGGATAGGATAGGATAGGATAGGATAGGATACGATAGGAATAGGATACGATAGATACGATAGCATACGATAGCGATACGATAGGATACGATAGGATAGATAGGATACGATACGATAGGATAGGATAGATACGATATAGGATAGGATAGGATACGATACGATAGGATACGATATGGCATACGATAGGATACGATACGATAGATACGATAGGATAGGATACGATAGGATAGGATAGGATACGATAGGATAATAGGATAAGATAGGATAGGATACGATAGAGATAGGATACGATAGGATAGGATAGGATACGATACGATACGATAGGATACGATAGGATACGATAGGATAAGATAGGATAAGATAGGATAGGATACGATAGGATACGATAGGATACGATAGGATAGGATAGGATAGGATACGATACGATAGGATACGATAGGATACGATAGGATAAGATAGGATAGGATACGATAGGATAGGATACGATAGGATACGATAGGATAATAGATAATACGATAGGATACGATAGGATACGATACGATAGGATACGATAGGATACGATAGGATAGGATAGGATAGGATACGATAGGATAGGATACGATAGGATACGATAGGATAGGATACGATAGGATACGATAGGATACGATAGGATAGGATAGGATAGGATACGATAGGATACGATAGGATACGATAGCATACGATAGGATAGGATACGATAGGATACGATAGGATACGATAGGATAGGATACGATAAAGGATAGGATACGATAGGATACGATAGGATACGATAGGATAGGATACGATAGGATACGATAGGATAGGCGATACGATGCGGATACGATAGGATACGATAGCATACGATAGGATAGGATACGATAGGATACGATAGGATAGGATACGATAGGATAGGATAGGATACGATACGATAGGATACGATAGGATAGGATACGATAGGATACGATAGGATAGGATACGATAGGATAGGATGCGATACGATGCGATACGATGCGATACGATAGGATAGGATACGATAGGATATGATAGGATACAATGCAATAGGATACGATACAGGGTTTATAATTTAATATATTGCATAAATTCTGAGTTTAAAAAATTTCTACTTTGCTGAAAGGTTGTAGCTGTTAGTGAACGCTACATTTTGTATATTGTAACCGCTTTACCTCGCTGTCAGAGAGCCCTTTACGACGGGGAACTGAGGTTGGTATGTGGCTCTTTTTAAAGCCACCAGACTCCATTGACAAAAGTTGTAATTTTACTTCACAGAACACGGGAGCTTCTGCTCCACCGCTGCCTCGATCTACAGCAATTATCATCAGTTTGTGTCCGAATTAACGTGTTAAAAACATTACAGTCACACAAAAACACAATCTAACTCATCGCTGGAGGTGGCGGTGGACCAACAGCTCCCGTGGTCTGAGATGAAAATCACCGTTGTTTTAAAAGGAGTCTGGTGGTCACTTCCTGCCCTCCGTCTGAATGTTTGTGTTTTTGGTGAATGTAGCTTCAAGGTGGAAAAGGTCCAATAAAACGGTTCAGTATCTGAGCACCTTAAGTTCTTTAACCTGGTGTATGAAGGCTCCGCCCCTCCCCCCCCCCGTGATGTCACAAGCCTGCAGGTCATGGTCGTCTTCCTCCTTTCCTCCGTTAACTGTGCCCTCTGTTTTGGCTTGTAGGCTAACACAGGAACAGGAAGGGTTTTGTCCCGCTCAGGATTTGTTGTAAGCCGTCAGGTTTTCCGGGAGCTCAGAACTATGGTGAGCTCTGACTGACTTCAAAAACTGGAATGATGCAAACCCGGCTTCTGGCAGAGCACCCCCACCCCAACCCCACCCCCACCCCAGTAACAGTAGATTTAAAGGTGAAGAAGAAGAAGAATAAGAGCCGACTGAGGTTTGAAGGTAGAGAAAGTGTCTGTCAGGATGTTTCACTGCTGCTGCGACGCTGCTGGACCACAGAGTTTCTCTCTTTTACACTTATTTTATATTATTCGTTCTATAATTGTAAAAATACGTTAATATTCTGGCAGCTGGGGCTCCAAAAAATACAGTAACACAACTATCTAGAATTAAAATACAGTTTTTAACTTTAATTTGACTTAAAATTTATTTTTAATGTTTAATTAAATATATTTACACTATAAAACAATGATCTATAAATCCAGGTGAACTCTGCTATAATACAATAATCAGACTTACATTTACAGCAGAGTGCTGTTATTATTGGATTGTTATTATTTTAATGTGAATGTTAAAAGTTATAGAAGTGTAATAAAAGTCATTATCTGTGAGATTACAGTAATTATTGCTGTTTACACTGATAACAACTGTATTTGGACAGTTTACCAATGCTTATACACTGATAAACAACATTTATTCAACTTCCATCATTATACAACATATCTGTCAGTTAACTAACTAATACATTAAAATTACACAACTAATACTATTTTTGAACTGTACTTATTTTACATACATTTTTTAGAAATGTATTAACAGTATTAAAGTAGAATTTCACAGTTGAATCTATTAAATAAACAATAAATAATATGTTAAATCTTTTTATGTGAACATTTTGAAATTTATTTTCAATAAGCAGTAGTTTTATGATTATTTATAGATACAGATTTTACATGTTATTTTACATGTAAAAAAACCCGTTAAAGTACAGATTGTTTTTACAGTGCAATATAAAGCTGCATTATAATAGGATAATACTGTTCTACCACTGGGACGTCTCCAGTAAGCTAATATGTAATAATTAATATACGACACATTATATAATATATTCTGCTGACTGCAGTATGCGTTATATGACAATAATAAAATACTATTATACTGTAATGATACAATATATGTATTTATATGATTATAAACTGCTACACTTAATCCTATATTATCAGATAATATAGTGCATACGTAGTATAAAGCTTATACTATATAACATAAATATATACAACAGTATTAAAATGCTGTACTTCGTTATATGTAGAAAGTTGTGCTAGCTAGCTAGCGTCCAAAGTCAATGCTAACATTAATACAAAGCTTTATAAATATGTGATATTATGGTTTTAGCTGGATAACGTTAGCTAACGTTAGCTTTGTATGTCATGTGACTGTTTTGGCCGATGCCTACGCAGTTAGCTTAGCACAGCTAGCTACTGCAGAACTGTATCGTTCTGGCACCAGGTAGGCTCCGCCCACAAAATACATCATCCCCGATTACAAACAGAAAACATAGATAATACCTCCACTGTAATCTGCACTGTGTTAATGTTAACGTATATTTGAGGCGTTCTGATTGGCCGGTCGCTGTCCTACGTACGCTGCTGTGTAGGACAGTTGCTCGCGGTGTATTCAGGGAGACTCCGTGGTCCCGCCCTCGGCAGTGAATGGCGGCTCAGCAGTGTGTTGAGGCCTGCAGCAGGTTTCGCTACATCTCCAGTGTTACAGTGACTCCCAGCTGCTGGTCGCCGCCGGTCAGCTGATTGCGATGATGATGATGATGATGATGGTGGTGCTGCTGCTGTATCACTGCAGGTGCAGAGAAGCCTCCTCCCCTCCTTCCCAGTCCGTCCAGTCCTCTGCCAGAGCTGGTCTGACTGGAAAACACAGCGGCGGACACTCTCCAGTATATATGCAGTCCGCCTGAGCTCTGCATGCACTGATGGCGGCCCGTGGCATTGCATGCAGAACAGCATGGTTTGGGGACTGACATGCATCACTTCAGATTTCCCCCCACGACTCCACTGATATCGGCGTCCATGTGAGAGTGAAGCTCAGTGAGATACTGCGTCCTCCTGTCAGCAGTCATTATCAGTCCACAACCTACAGCCACAAATACGCCAAACTTTGACCTCAACAAACCAAAGCTTTCACACATCTATAAACGGGTTTTTTGCCCCTGAACTTGTCTCCTCAGGCAGAGCTCATTCCCAGGCGGTTTGGTCCCCAACAGGCTCCTCCAAATCACATCTCAGGAAACTTTCTAACCTTTGACCCAACATCAATCTAACCGCCTCATTTACGGAGCTTGTTGGGAGCAGTGCTCGACCTGGGAGTGTACACTACCTGCCAGGCTGAACTCAGGGCAGAAATGACCAACAAAAGACCTTTGACCTAAATAACGAACATTGATCACTGCGTCCCAACATCAATCTGGTATTTGGTACTTTAGCAGATTAAATATTAAAACAAATATAAAACTCTCTTTCTGCCTCAGATTAATTACACACCTGTAAAAATAAGCCCCGCCCCCTTTTTGGAACCTCGGTCACTACCTCCCTCCCTGTACTTAGATATGCTATGCTAGGCTAATCTACGTTGAAAATACAACCACATTTGGAAGATGGTTAAAAGATAGAAGAGACATATATACAGTCACATCTTAAGTTACACTAGCTAATTAGCTTTATAATCAACATTAATCCTGAGCTAGCTAACTATCCTCTGTTTTGCTAAAATCATCAGCGAGCTAGTTAGCTAGTGTTTTGCTCTGTATCAAAACACTAGCTAACTAACCATCTAACTACCCAGCTAACGATTGATGTAGATTAGTGAGCTAGTTAGCTAGTGTTTTGCTAATTAGCTTTCAGACATAAGAGAGATAAGAGATAAGAGATAGATTAGATAAGCTAGCATTGTTCTAACATTTGCAAAACTTAATTCACAGAATACTCACCCCCGTAAAACTATGAAATGTCAGAGCCAGGCTAGCGGTTTCCAGTCTTTATGCTAAGCTAAGCTAACCCGCTGCAGTAGCTTCATATTTACCGTGAACAATAATAAAGTATAAAACATCAACAATAAACATAATTAGTTTTAATATTTATAGGTTTGTTTTCATTAGTGTATAATCAGCTGGAAATAAGACGTTTTCTCCAGAGGCGGAGACCGCCATGTTGAACCGCCATGTTGAACCCGCCCGACCGAACAGCAACCTGAGTTCAGAGCTTTAAATCGGGGCTCGTTGGATCGGGTCTGTGCGGTTCTGATCTCTGATGATTCGGAGCAGAGTGTCCGGCTGCTTCCTCTGCACTCATGATATTTGCTCCAGTTACTGCAAATACCATCACACCCCCAGCCTCCCCCCTCCTCCCCCGACCTCCCCCACCGGCCTGTAGCCTGATCCAGCTGAAGAATGGCTTCTAATGGCAGCCAGTGATCTCTAATGCCTGTTGTTCTATCGGACTGCTGCGACCGTCCCAGTACAGGGCTGTGGTTGGACTGGGAGCCTCCCGGTGCCAAGATGATGTTGTTAATTGGCTGACCGCTCTCCCTTCCTCCCCCTCTTTCCCCCCCCCCCACAGATAAATGGCTCTTTTAAGCTGGGAGCTGCTCGTGTTCTGTCTGGCTGGCAGATGCAGTGCCTAGTCCCCGGCCTCCAGGACAACGCCAACATGAACGGGACGTCCGAGCAGGCCGACATCCTGCCGCCAAACTGCATGGTCAAAGACCGATGGAAAGTGGTGAGTCAGGAACCCTCCCCCCTCCACCTCCCCTCTCCTCCCCCAGCTCAGTTCACAGATCCTGCTTTAGAGTCTCCTGTCCACCAGTTTCGGTCAGATATTTTAGAGTTTCCTGATAATCAATAAAAGCATTTGATGACTCATCCTGCACTCGGGGTTGTATACTAATGCTGCGTCCAATCAAACGCTTTCTCTCTTCTGACGCCACCGGAGCGTTTCTGAGGGCCGATGTGATCTACGTCAATCTGTAGTGAGGTTGTTACACCTGGAAGATGATGTAGTTTGATGTAAGTACCGAGGGATCTGATGGAAACATTGATCAGTAGCCAACTGCTAACTGCTAAGCTAACTGACTCCACCCCGGGGATGCCAGGAGCCAAACCCAACAAGAAAATCACCTCGGTACCAGATTCCCTGTTGGCCCCTGAGGTTGTGTTCATTAATAATCAGCTGTATGGACAATGATTCATTCTGAGGTTATTGATATAATCAATACATTGGATCTTTGTTTCAGAATCAATAAGCTCATTGGTGTGAATATTCAGTCGTAACGTTTCTTCAGTTCTGTTGGTGTTTTTGTTCTGTACAGCGTGTTGTCATCGACCCGTGTCCTTGCTGCTGCGGTTACGTATTAATCATTAGTGTATCAGGATACTTTAACAGCCATTTTGTACTTTCACTCCGATATCGTCAATATAGCTGATTATTAATGGGAATTATGCTAATTGCCAAACATATGGAAGTTGGTTCAATTCAATTTCAATTCAATTTTATTTGTATAGCACCAATTCATAACAGAAGTTATCTCAGGACACTTTTCAAATAGAGCAGGTCTAGACCGAACTCTTTATAACATTAATTACAGAGACCCAACAGTACCACCATGAGCAAGACCTTGGAGACAAGGGCAAGGAAAAACTGCCTGTTAAAAGGCAGAAACCTAGGACAGATCCTCCGGCTCTAGGTGGGTGGTCGTCTGTCTCGACCAGTTGGGGTGAGAGAGAGAGAGAGAGAGAGAGAGAGAGACAGACAGACAGACAGACAGACAGACAGACAGGTGCACAGCAACAACAGTATTGGCAATGGCAATCTAGCAGGACCATGGCAGGAGGCTCCACCAGGATCGACAAGAACCTGCGAGACGAGAAAGCACAAGAACTCCGGGGAAGAAGTGAAGTTAGTAACATGCATTAATGGGACATGAATGAGTGCAGAAAGAGAGAGGAAGGGAGGAGCTCAGTGCACCATGGGAAATCCCCCGGTAGTCTAGGCCTATAGCAGCATAACTAAGGGATGGTTCAGGACGGTTCAGTTAGTGTCAGTTTCTAAATGCTGGGGACCCGATCGGAACATTTCTAACAACATTACATACGTATAGAACTATAACTATATATATAATAATATATAATGCTGCAGTCCTTTGAGCTTCTTCTGGTTTCTGAAATAAGAAGTTACATAATGCAGCTCCTGTCTGAGCCAATCAGATTGCAGCAATGAGCCTGAGGCTGTTGCAGTTCACTGATCAATTTACTGTGTCACACACACACACACACACACACACACACATATTAAACATATATATGTATATTTTGCTCGGCAACAAACAAAATGACAAAAGAAAGAAGGGATGAAGGAAGAAAGGGAAGTAAAGGAATCAACTTTTCTTCTGCTTTGTGGTTTATTGATCCTGGAATATTGATTGAAAGAAGAAAAGAGTGGACGGGGTGGGGCAGGAAGTGCTCTAACAGTCTGTCCTCCTCTGCCTGTCTGTCTGTCTGTCTGCCTGTCTGTCTGTCTGTCTGTCTGTCTGTCTGTCCCAGCTGAAGAAGATCGGTGGCGGCGGGTTCGGGGAGATCTACGAGGCTTTGGACCTGCTGACGCGGGAGAACGTGGCGCTAAAGGTGGAGTCGGCCCAGCAGCCCAAACAGGTGCTGAAGATGGAGGTGGCGGTGCTGAAGAAGCTGCAGGGTGAGCGGCTCCAAACCAGATCCAAACCAGGCACACACACACAAAATACTGTAAAATAACAGAAAATAACATAAATATCGTAAAAATACAGTCAATTTCTGTAATTAAAATAAAATGTTTAGCTTTAATTTGACATAAAATCTCTTTTTAATGTTTAATTAAAGATATTTACACTGTAAAAACAATGAGTTATAAATACAGGCGAACTCTGCTATAATGCAAATAATGAGGCTTTACAGCAGAGGGCTGTTATTATTGGATTTCTATTATTTTAACTGTAATAAAAGTAATTATTCATGAAAAATTACAGGACAAATACTTTTTACTGTTAATGTCATTAATTTTACATAATTTTATAAATGTATTAACAGTATTAAACTTGAGTTTAACAGTTTAATCTATTTAAAAAACAATAAATATCTTATATCTATCTTTCTTATTATAGATTTGCAAAATGTATTTTAATGTTTTTATGTGACAAAAAGGAAATTTACATTCACGATTATTTACAGTTACATATATAATTTTATTATTTCTATGTTTGCAGACGTTAGCGGACTCCATTTATAAGCTAACGTTAGCTAGTGTTGCCCACTGTTGGCACTGTAGGGAAGCGGAGAGAGAAGGCACTCGGGAGCATAAAGGGAAAAACGTGAATTTATTGAACGTCTCCTCTTTCTCTTTTTATTTTCCAGGTAAAAACCACGTCTGTAAATTTATTGGCTGCGGGAGAAACGACAAATTCAACTACGTGGTCATGCAGCTTCAGGTGAGTCAGCGTGTGGGCGGCTTTTATTGTGAAGGACATAAATACACACAGGAAGCAGAGACTGGATTGTGCTGCGATTGTGCTTCTAGTGACTGTAAAAGTCCGACATTTCAACGCGTTTTTTTTGGGCAGAAATGGAAAAAGTGTCCGTGTTCTGTTGCAGGGTCGTAACCTGGCCGACCTGCGGAGGAGTCAGCCCAGAGGGACCTTCACCATGAGCACCACCCTGCGGCTCGGGAAGCAGATCCTGGAGTCCATCGAAGCCATCCACTCAGTGGGCTTCCTGCACCGCGACATCAAACCGGTACGATGATCCTCTCAGAGCCGTTTCTGTCCTTTAAAGGTCCTTTTGTTCTGTGCTTTGAGACGAGTGTTTTTATTTAACTGGATCCAGTTTTAATACGTCCAGATCGTATAAAAGGGAATCTTTTGGTGTTTAAATGCCCAAAATTTTAAATATGTGTCATAAAATAAACGCAGACAGACACAAAGTAACAACAAAGAAATGTAATTTTTAATTCCAGGAAATCTTTTAGTTTAAAAAACAAGCAGCGCCTCCAAATTAAAATGCCCAGAAAAATTTTTCCAGTCTGGTACAAAAACCACTTTTGGCCTCCGTAGATAATCTTTAAGGAGTCAGGACTTCGTCTTTCACTCATAGAAACCTTTGAATACTTGAACTGAAGCCTGTTGATGATTAACTCACTGGTGTCTCTCTCGTTTCTTTCCTGCAGTCAAACTTTGCGATGGGCCGACTACCCTCGACCTACAGGAAGTGCTACATGCTGGACTTCGGTCTGGCGCGTCAGTACACCAACACCACCGGAGAGGTCCGACCGGTAAGAACCTTTAGAACGTCTGTGCCGACATTAGCGGCACTGCGCCGTGGAAACAACGACATGTATGTGAGGAATTAAATTAAACAGCACAAGGCGCCACAGACGTGCTGTGAGCGGTTCTTGGTTTTAAACTATAATATGTTGGTGACGGTTCTCTGACGGTGAAGAACTGGTTCCAGATTAGAAACCTGCTCCGAACCTCAAACTGCTTCGATGGATAGAACCTTCTAAGAACCAGTTTGCGTTTACCACGAGTTAGAGAGCCACCGTAGAGCCCCATCATTACGTCACTGTATCCAACGTTAGCTATTGTTACCAAGGGTTATGCTAGCTGGAGCTCAGCTAACTTCTCAACTAGCATAGCTGCTAATTTCCCACATCAATGTTACAAACCTTGAATGTCACATTGAAGTTCGGAGACAATTCGTAGCTATGTTTGCTGACCAATAGCTAGCTCGCTAACACGCTTACTCAATGTTACGTTCATAACATCTATGTGCTAATCAGCTAATAAATAAATAATACAACTAGTTTTCCTGGCTCTCTGGCGCCGGCCCCGAACAGTGGGAAAGGACTTTTAGCCATTTTGTCAATAAAATGTAGCAAGTAACTCACAGTCTACAAACGCTTTAAAAGAACAGATATTATCTCATAAGTTTTATATTTTAAATCACAGAGTTATGAAATAAAAGAAAATTGTACAAACTGGAATAAAAAAGGAAATAAATAAGATAAACAAACAAAATGTAAATGAATGATTTATATGTTTACCATCATAAATCTGTATAAAAGTTTATCTTATATTCTCAGTTTTGGGCAGGAATAATCTTCCGTACAGTCGGGTGTGCTTGCTGCACTGCAGAACTACAGAACTACAGAGCTGATCAGTGACTGCCAGTGATCGATAACAACTGATCAGATTTTATTATTGAACGATAGGAGGTCCTGATGCTGCCTGAGGGGTTTTTATTGATTTGAATGGCTTTTATTGTGAAAGGTGTTTCTTTCTCTCTCTCTCTCTCTCATTCATTTCTGATGTCTCTCCATCACACTGAGATATTTTTAGACCAACGAGTACGTCAGCTGTTACTGTCAACTCCTCCTCTCCTCTCCTCTCCTCTCCTCTTCCTCTCCTCCTGATCCTCTCCTCTTCCTCCTCCTGTTCTTCTACTCTCCTCCTACTCTCCTCCTCCTCTTCCTCTCCTCTTCTCTCCTATTCCTCCTCCTGTCCTCCTCCTTTCCTGTCCTCTCTTCCTCCTCTCCTCCTCATCCTCTCCTCATCCTCCTCTTCATCCTCTCCTCTCCTCCTCTTCATCCTCCTCATCTCCTATTACTCCTCTCCTCTCTTCATCCTCTCCTCCTCTTCCTCTCCTCATCCTCTCCTCTCCTCCTCTCCTCCTCCTCTCCTCCCTCTCCATCCTACTCCTCTCCTCTCTTCCTCCTCTCCTCCTCATCCTCTTCTCCTCCTCTCTTCATCCTCTCCTCCCTCTTCATCCTCTCTCTTCATCCTCTCCTCCTCTCCTCATCCTCTCTTCATCCTCTCTCTTCATCCTCCTCTCCTCATCCTCTCTTCATCCTCTTCTCCTCCTCTCTTCATCCTCTCCTCCTCTTCATCCTCTCATCTCCTCTCTTCATCCTCTTCCTCCTCTCCTCCTCCTCTCTTCATCCTCTCCTCCTCTCCTCATCCTCTTCTCCTCTCTTCATCCTCTCCTCCTCTTCATCCTCTCATCTCCTCCTCTCTTCATCCTCTCCTCTCCTCCTTTCTTCATCCTCTTCCTCCTCTCCTCCTCTCCTCCTCCTCTCTTCATCCTCTCCTCCTCTCCTCATCCTCTCTTCATCCTCCTCTCCTCATCCTCTCTTCCTCCTCTCCTCCTCATCCTCTTCTCCTCCTCTCTTCATCCTCTCCTCCTCTTCATCCTCTCTCTTCATCCTCTCCTCCTCTCCTCATCCTCTCTTCATCCTCTCTCTTCATCCTCCTCTCCTCATCCTCTCTTCATCCTCCTCTCCTCATCCTCTCTTCCTCCTCTCCTCCTCATCCTCTTCTCCTCCTCTCTTCATCCTCTCCTCCTCTTCATCCTCTCTCTTCATCCTCTCCTCCTCTCCTCATCCTCTCTTCATCCTCTCTCTTCATCCTCCTCTCCTCATCCTCTCTTCCTCCTCTCCTCCTCCTCTCCTCATCCTCTTCTCCTCTCTTCATCCTCTCCTCCTCTTCATCCTCTCTTCTCCTCCTCTCTTCATCCTCTCCTCTCCTCCTTTCTTCATCCTCTTCCTCCTCTCCTCCTCCTCCTCCTCCTGCAGTGTTGCAGTAGTCAGATGAATATTTGATGCTCCTGCATGCGTCAGTGGGCGAGAGACCTCAGGCTCTCTCTCTCTCTCTCTCTCTCTCTCTCTCTAGCTGAGTCAGCTTCTGTCCAATCATCTGAGAGGATCACCTCCCCCCTCCCCCCTCCTCCCTCGTTCTACCCCTCCCCCCTCTTTATCCTCTCTCACACACAGTTACATCACCTGATCTAACAGGAAGTCCTCCCAGCTGACGTCATCAGTATTGACAGTAATAGTATTTATTGATTCTGTCTGACTTCCTGTCTCTCAGCTGCAACCTCATTGGTTCGTACTGAAGACCGAATCTTTATATGGAAGGTGTCTGATGTTTCTATGATAATAATAAAGTATGGAAGGTGTCTGATGATCCTATAATAAAGTATGGAAGGTGTCTGATGTTCCCAAAATAATGTATGGAAGGTGTCCGATGTTTCTATAATAATAATATATGGAAGGTGTCTGATGATCCTATAATAATAATGTATGGAAGGTGTCTGATGTTCCTATAATAATAATAATAATAATAATGTATGGAAGGTGTCTGATGTTCCTATAATAATAATAATAATAATGTATGGAAGGTGTCTGATGATCCTATAATAATAATAATAATGTATGGAAGGTGTCTGATGATCCTATAATAATAATGTATGGAAGGTGTCTGATGTTCCTATAATAATAATAATAATGTATGGAAGGTGTCTGATGATCCTATAATAATAATAATGTATGGAAGGTGTCTGATGATCCTATAATAATAATGTATGGAAGGTGTCTGATGATCCTATAATAATGTATGGAAGGTGTCTGATGTTCCTATAATTATGTATGGAAGGTGTATGATGTTCCTATAATAATAATAATAATGTATGGAAGGTGTATGATGTTCCTATAATAATAATAATGTATGGAAGGTGTATGATGTTCCTATAATAATAATAATGTATGGAAGGTGTCTGAGCTGATCGTCGCTGTAAAGATTGAGCTGATCATTCAGTGTTTATCTGTTCTGTGTAAATAAATAATCAGGGGAATACAATAAATTAATTAATTAAGGTTAGAATTTGCCATTTTCAATCCTCAATTTTTAAACATTTTAAAATAGAATGAGATGACGAGCCTTCCCCACAGTGGATTATTGCTGCTAATGAGTGAGCGTCTGCATGATGTTCAGTCTGTATTGATCACCAATCATCAGTTCTTTTATCAGTGATTTCTGTTCTGTGAAGTTTTATCTGTTGACTGTTTTATTTTCATCATTTTTACATTTCAGTGCTGTTTTTTTTTTTTGTTTTTCTTACAGTTCCTTTGGACTTATGATTTTGACGTGCATGCATCCCGTTTCTCCATCATCTCCATGGTTACCCAGGGATGTGAGTGGTTTCTATAGCGACAGCGGGGTCACAGCCGCATCACCAGCTGACCACTGAAGTACAGTTAGTCAGCGTCCAGCTTTCCCTGAGTACATGAGTCAGTATAACTGTATTAACACATTTTACATAACGGTTTATCTCCACGTGTCTCAGCCAGTAAAGACTTGAGTCGTGTGTAATTCAGATGTTTCATCTGTAGCGGCTTCCAATCAAAAGCAATCATTTTGAAGTTGGTTAAAAGGTAAAAGAGACATAAAGTCACATCTTAAGTTGCTCAAAACTAAAAAGATATATATATATATATAGTCACATCTTCAGGTAGCAAATGTTAGCAAAACACTTAACGATTAATATAAATTAGCTAGCTAGTTAATTTTGCTAACATTAGCTAACTTAAGATGTGACTATATATACAGAATATGTCGCTTTTATCTTTTTGTTTCAGTAGATTGGCAGCCATGATGATAATAATAACCTGAACAAATTATTAATATATATAATATTATATATATTAAGTTTTTCTAATTCACATTCGTACCTCAGAGAAAACTCTGTCCTTCTTTACACTGATTCACTAATAACTTGATAACAGTGGCGCTACTGGGACTGTTATTACATGTAATAATTATGATCATAATAAGGAGATGAACTGATGCTCCAGTGGAAAAGATTATGATAATTGTTTGTTTTGAAGACACGTACATACAGTGCATCCATATATCTACTCTCAAGTCACGACGTGTCTCCCAGTTGCCATGGGAACCTGAACATGCCATCATATTCTGCTCACCACACAGATATGAATAATATCGCCATGGAAACCCCCTAGTTGACCCCGTGTGTGCGGCGGTGGAGGCTGTGTGGATGCAGTGTGACCCTCTGCTGGTGTTCCTGTCATTATTTGGTTATTTTGGTTTATTTACTGTGTTTACATCAGAAACATGATGAAGGATGTCTGCTCTGCTACCACGGTAACGCTTCCACTTTGTGTTCAGACTGAATGTGATATAATGTTGGGTCATAAATGCAATTATTATTATGTTTTGTTTTTGGGATGTTGCAATCGCGTGATGAATCAATCTCTGACATTTTAAAAGTACAAAATGGCTGTTTAAACCAGAAGTGGTCATATTTCTCCGGATACTGATTCATTTTGAGGTTATTTATATGATTAATACATAAGAAAATCAGCAAAGACACAGGTCAGCGACAAAATGAACATTCACAACAATGACACTGAGCTTTTCTGATTGAAGCTCCAATGTACTAATCATATAAATAATCTCCTGTTTCCAGTAGGTGGCGCTATGACTATAATTTGAATATTGGCTTGTAGGTGTGTTCAGGGCGGGACTCTAATCACAGTCCCAAATAGCACAAAGTCAGACGTGAGTTGTGCTGTTGACTAACTTTGCTTCGTCTTGTGTTCAGCCGAGAACCGTGGCGGGTTTCAGAGGGACGGTCCGATACGCTTCAGTCAACGCTCACAAAAACAAGGTGAGGGCTGGTTGTTGTCTTTGTCTCTGCTGCTGGTGGATGTTAGAGAGTTCGACACTAACAGGCCTGGAATTACGTCTATGACTACTTCCACCAACAAACCAACACAAGTTACCCACAATCCAACCTTTCTGAAAGGGGATCGGCCGGTGACACTCTTACTGTGAAAATATTCCACTACGTGTTAAAGTTCTGCATTTTAAACCTTACTAAGGTAAAAGTATAACATCAAGATGTACTTCAAGTAAAAGTATTCACAGTGCAGGAAAATGTTTTATTATATTGGATGTTTTAGGATTAATATTACTGTTGCATTAATGTGTGAGTTATTATTAATGGTAGAAAATATGGTGAAAAAACTACCGAAATGAGACCAAAAACTATCAATATGTGCTGTAAATGTTTATGGTTGAACTACTTTATGTACAGTTCATAGTTGAATCTACAGCAATGCATCATGTTCTATAAGATCATCACTATTTGAGAATTTACTGTGTTATTTTAGAGACAATGTTTATATCGAGATATACTGCATATATCCACTTGTTTTCACAGATATTTCCAGTTGTACTTTGGCCACCAAATTTAAGGGCTTGGTGCCGGTTTCAGTATCCTAATAATGTGTCTTTGTTGCGTTTCTTCCAGGAAATGGGTCGCCATGACGACCTGTGGTCATTGTTTTACATGTTGGTGGAGTTCGCTGTTGGACAGTTGCCATGGCGAAAGATCAAAGACAAGGTCAGACTGTTTCACCCGAACAAACACAACAATCTTGTATGCATATAACACCAGCAGAGTTACCACGTTGGGATGTGTTATCATGCATTTCGGGCACCGCAGGAAGGAGTTACATATCCACTATGTGGTGCCAGTAGGGGGCGCTAACTGAATATTGGCTTGTAGATGTGTTCAGACTCTACTGGGGTAGATTGGACAATGGACACTGAAGTTACAACAATCTATCAGACCTCTGGATTACTACACATCGGGATGGTGTTTAGATTGCAGAGAACCAATTTCATGTTTGTTGAAGAGCAACAACTTGAAAAAACTGACCAGTAAATTCAAAATGGCTGACTTCCTGTTAGGTTTGCCTTGTGGCTACTAGAAGCTTTTTTGTACGTCTACCAATTTTCATACATATTGGTAAAACACACCACGGGGGGGGGCTGCTCTTGGAGCCATTTTGCCACGCCCATGTGCGAGGCCCATAAGCAGTACTACCACTGACATGTGTCATGTTTCAAGAGTTTTTAGGCACATTTAGATTTAGAATTAGATCAATTTAGAGGAATAACAGGCCTAATAATTCTCCCATTTCAGCTGCTGCATAAATATGAGTCTCGCAAAATGGCTCCTTAATGCCCCCTGAAGAACAGCCCCCCTGTGACATGTTTTACTGATATAAATACAAATCAGTAGGCTCATGTACCACAAATTTGTATTGTGTTTCTCTGATGTTTCATAGTTTCATAAAAAAGAAACAGTTGACTTAGTAACTAATGAACCCAGCTGATTATTATTTGGCTTGTCAAAGCTGGAAGCATGAATCCTCTAACTGACTGCAGCTGAATGTGAGTTTTGGTGTTTTGTTGCAGGAACAAGTCGGTCAGATAAAAGAGCGTTATGACCATCGGATGCTGCTCAAACACATGCCTTCAGAGTTCAATATCTTCCTGGACCATGTCCTGGCCCTGGACTACTACACCAAACCAGACTACCAGGTACTCGCTGTGAGCTGATCTCGGTACTCTCAGTATTCACACCCGGACGTTATCTGATGAGTCCGTCGTGTTGTTTTTTCCCAGCTGCTCATGTCAGTGTTTGAGAACAGCATGAAGGAGCGAATTATCACCGAGAACGAGCCTTTCGATTGGGAGAAGGGAGGCAGTGATGTCACGCTGTCAACCAGTGCCTCCACCCAACCACAGCACAACACCCGACCCACCGCTGCCATGGTGGGGTAAGAACCAAACTTTATACCCCTAAACCCACCAGGAGACCAGATTCATGTGTGAGTTGTTGACTCTGTGGTGTTGAAACTTCAGTTGAAAGGTCATTCTGGTTATTGCTGTTATTTTCATATTATGATTCAATCCATCATCACTGAAAAGAAGTCAGACTCAGATATTAACTTAATGAGTACAATTTGATTATTACTGGTAGAAACGATGGACAAAAACCAACCAAAATCAGACAAAAAACTAGCAAAAGAAGACAAAAAACTACCAGAATAAGACCTTAAACTACTGTATGACAAGGATGAATATACTGGAATTGTTATTCTCACGCCCGACAGTAACTACCATTGAGCTCACCGAGGTCCTGTCCTCGGCATTTGGGGCTTGTGGAAGGTTTTGCAACGTGTTACCATGAGTAACTTTTAGTGGGAGTGAGCTGAAATATTCAGGGTAATGATCAGTGACTACACAAACAGAAATGGTCTGATCAAGTTATTCATTCTATAACTCAGCTACAACCAGAAGCTTCCTGGATGTTGTAAAATCTGAAGCTGATTCTCTTGTGTCCACAGAGCCATCGTGACGCCAGTTCCCGGAGATCTTCAGCGGGAGAACACCGACGACGTTCTGCAGGACGAACATCTCAGTGATCAGGAGAACGCCCCTCCGGCCCCACCCAGTCGCCCCCCCGGGGAGACAGGGGTCTCGCACGCCGGGGAGCCAGGAGAGGCCTGGGAGGACACGGACTTCAACCGTAACAGACTCAGGATCAGCCTGAACAAGGTTAGAAGTGACAGTTGATATTTAAAACAAATAACTTTATAGATTGTTAAAATGGCATCTGTGTTCCGACCATAAAACACCACTTCCTGTCTGTCATCAGGGGGCTCAGGAGGAGGAGTCAGGTCGGGGGGCATGTCCAGTGTCGCCGATTCGAGGTGGAGCCCCGGAGTCACCAACAGGTCAGGGTCGGTCCTTGCGGTACCGCCGGGTCAACAGCCCTGAATCTGACCGCCTGTCTGCTGCCGAGGGCCGCGCCGACGCCTACGGACAGAGGTGACCCCTCACATTAGAAAAGTGTAGAGGAGGTGTAAAGGCGGGAGACAGCTGACTGTTTCATTCCTCAATTAGATCCACGTTTTGAAAAATGTTGAATACTAGTCAGCAGTGTTGAAGGCTGTTAACTTCAAATTGTCTTCATGTTGAGGAGCTTTCTCGTTATCAAGTGTTCCTGTTGATAAAGGAGGATTTCCCATTTGGTGAAATGCCAAAATGTCATTTCCGTCCTTTACTGCTGTGATCAAAAAGAAACCAGAGGTGTACATATATATTAGACTTAAGATTCAAGACACAGAAACGAGGACTGCTGTGAGCTTAAAGATTTGAAACTGATATGATGCCAAGTGTTAATTCATTAGGCCCCTGCTTTGAAAGAACTGTTCAAATGTCATTTTAATGGTCAGCAGATCTGAAAGACCTGAAGGATTTGAAATTCTGCTTATGGAGACTTGACTTGGACTTGCCCTCAATGACTCTCTTTGACCAGAGTTGTGAGTTGACTCAGACCTTAACTTGAAGGTCTTGAGAATTGACGTGTCTTCCTTTTACAAGACTTTCCATTTCCATTAAAGGCTTGAGAAGGTCTTGACTTGACTTTGCCATCAACAAGTTGAGACTTGACAAGGACCAGTCAGACAGTCACGGAAGTCAAAATTAAGCTGTTTAGTGTTGATGTTACCTTTCGAGTCACATTTTCCTGTGTCTTTCTGTCTCCTCTAGGTCCAGGATGGACATCCTTGGCTCTCCGTCCCGTCACGTTTACTCCTCCCAGCCGGCTCAGATGCTGTCCGTTGACCCCGGTTGCCGTGGCGACCGTCAAGTCAGTGGCCGCCAGGAGGTGTCTGTGGCGTCCGTCGACCAGGAGGCGCACAGCAACGCCTTCATCCGGTCCGTCCCGCTGGCCGAGGAGGAGGACTTTGACAGCAAAGAGTGGGTGATCATCGACAAAGAGGCAGAGCTACGAGACTTCCAACCAACCACGTCAGGAACCACCGACGAAGAGCCTGAAGAGCTCCGACCCCTGGAGGATCAGGAGGAGCGGAGGAGGCTCAGGGCTGCAGGTAGGAGCTTATGTCATCAAGCTTTCTCTTTTCTTATTGATTTGATGTGAGAGATGACCTAGCATTACAGACTGTATGTCATATGCCATAACATCATTGAACTAAAGTTTTCACTCTGAGGAAGCACAAAAATGACTTTCTGCTGAATGTTAGACACTAGAAGTCTTATTTGTAAGTTTAGCTGCCCGACATTAAACATTAAACTCCACAGATGGTATCGACTTTTAGACCTTTAGTCTCTAACTCTGGTTGACATTTTGTGTTCCTTCAGGAGGGGAGCTGGTGGTTCGTCCGAAGACCCACACCAGGGAGAGCAGCCGAGGGATGCTAACGCTAACGGAGGAGGAGGCGTCGAGGAGGAGCGGCGGGAGCCCCGCTCAGTCACCCTGCCACTCCCTGCCATCGGGACGCCCCCGCCGGAGAGAGTCAGAGCCCACTGGACCTCAAAGACCGGTAAGAGACCCGGCCAGCCAATCAGAGGGGAGCGCAGCTCTTGGGTGGCACGTTGGCAGGAAGATGAGGAAGTGGACGGCTACTTGCTGGCACTGTCATAAGGAGGCGCTCTGCAGCAGCTGCTCTGCCTCCTCATTTATCTGTCAACATGCAGCTTAAAGGACAAATCCAGTACAAGCACAGGTTTAGCTTCCAGTTTTTCCCTCTTTGGTGTCGATGATTCTGCAGCCTGATAATGAACCTTTATCACTATCAGCTCTGGATGTTTGGAGATCAATAACGAAGCCGTTATCAATATTTCTGTTAGCACTGAAGCTTTTATTGTGCACTTTACTTTGTTGAGTATAATTTTTCATCATAGAACAGTGATCCAACATTTTAAAGTACCAGTCTGAAGGATTTAGTGGCATCTAGTGCTCAGCCTTCAAACTGTGACTGAGAAACACAAAACTTGGTTTGTCCCTTCTGGGCTACTGTAGAAACATGGCGGAACCTACAGACCATACAGACACTACAGGAGGTCTCACCTCTTTATTATTCACTTAATTTATACTTTGGTTCTTCAGACCAAACAGCCGCCGGTCCCAACAGTCTGTGGTGGTAACAAGCGAAACACGGTGACTCGTGCTGGAATTGTCCTTTAAGGTTGTGAAGGTTTGCGGCAGCACCGTCCTGCAGCTGAACATCTGTCACATGCAGTCGTTCTGTTCAACCTGCAGCAGCTAAAAGATCTGTTCAACCTTCAGGAGCACCAGCACCACAGACCGAGCAATGGGCCAACCAGACTCTATTCACAAGTCATTTTATCTTGCAGAAACAGAATTAAACCGTCTCTGTTAGTGTTTCCAACAATCACCAACTCTGGTTTGGTGGAAATAAATCCTTAATTCACCGACGTAGATGATAAAAACTGCAGTTTCAGTCGGAGCAGACCGGCTATGGCAACAAACCACAGAGAGGCTGCGATACAACACAGGCAGAGGGAGAGAGACACCATATATCTTTATATAGAGAATATTGGTTGGTTAGAAATCCAGTTACTGTCGTCACCTTCAGCTTCACTTCGACTCTGACGGTTCGGTTGTTCCTCGACTGCTTGTGACACATGAAAACCAGTTCTTGCCGCCCAGCTGTGTGAGCGGAGCTGCCATCTCCTCCTTCTCGTTGGAGCAGTGTTGAAATCTTTTCCATCTCTTTGCTTTGGCCCATGACTTTTGCTTTGGAGCCTTGTTTTATTCTGAAGGAGTGAATGGGAAACAGTGGCTGTAGAACATCTATGATCCGACCTGTAGCCATGATGTTTCTGTGTCAGGATGTTGATGATGTTTTCATCTTCTGTTGTTCTGCTGTGTTTTCTCATATTCTCTGGCACATTAGTGACACTGTTTCACCACCTGGTTTTACACACACACACACACACACACACACACACACACACACACAGTGGTGGTGATTCAGGATGGTGGACGAGTGGGAATTTACTGTGAACGTCTATGTTGAACATCGACCTCACGGTTTGCGTCCAAAGTGTAGGTGTGTAGGTGTAGTGAGTCTATCTTTCAGTTTGTTTAAGTTAAAGCAGCTAACATTACCGTTAGCGACAGTTGTCAGCAAACTGGCCTTCGTCTGACTCTGGGACTGTGTTCGGTCCCAGGCGGTTCGGTTGTACGCCAACGGCAGCTACAGCAATCAGAACTTTTGCTCAACTCCCTCCTTTTCTGTACTTAGATATGCTATGTGCTAAGCTAATGTATGTTGAAAACACAACCCCATTTTAAAGATGATCAAAAGATAAACACATATACATATATATATATATTTTCATATCATAACTTAGCTATTGCAGAAAAACACTAGCTAATTAGCTGCATATAGAGTCACATATTAAGTTAACACTAAGTAGCCAGCTAATTAACATAAACTGTTAGTTAGCTAGTTTTGCTACATTAACGACATCATTAGTGCGACTCATGCTGTTTCATGCAGCCTCATTTTAGCTAATATTAGCTACCTAGCTAGCCACCCTGCTAACTCTCCACAGCCCTGTACATGTTCTTCATATCGGTCCTCACAAACACCGACTGCAGTGATTCAGAAAGAGAAATCTTGGTCGCCCTGTGGAACCATCAAACGCTTCAGTGCTAACAGTTAGCAGGTTCCTGTTCGGGGTGCAGTGAATGATGGTAGCCGCTACCACGTCACTGTTACACTGTAGGATTATAAACAGCATATCTTAATAAAATAAATAACTTAACATAATTTAATCCTTCAAAACATTTCACTGACTTACTTCACATTGATTAAATCCAACTAAAAAAAATAAAGTAATACCTCTTTTAACACTTTTAATTATTAGTGATATAATTCCAGCTTGTCCAAATCTTTAAATCTATTCAGTTCTGTTAATATTCACAACATTGAATGAGCTTTTATTTAAAACACCTGATATGTTCTGAAAACATGGCTTTTATTTTGTCACCACATAAACAGAATTACTCTGTTTTTATTTATTTATGAATCCAGTGAACTTCCTGTTAGCGTTCAGAGGTGTCGAGACGAGCTGCAGGTAACGAACCCATCAGCCAGAATACAGAGAGAACTGCTGATGTGTCAAAGATGCCTCACTTTGGTTTCAGTTTATTGGCATTAAAAAGGAAAAGAGTCGAATGTTTGGTTGTATTAAAATCACCTGACTGACAGAAACAAGTTATTCTTTGCTTAAAGTTGAATCTCAGATCACTAAAAAGAAGATTTATTAAAATGTATGTTTGTTTTGTTGTCTTAATAAAATATGATAATATAATATAATGTTATCTTACTGCACTTCCGGGCCTCCATATTAAAGCTCCAGTGTGGCACATTACTGTAATATAATATTTTATAGGTATGTTTTCATTCATGTATAATCAGCTGAAAATAAGAATTGTTTTTCTTACCTTACAAGGATAACGGAGTCCGCCGTGTTAAACCACCGTGTTTCTACGGTAGCCCAGAACAGACAAACCAAACACTGGATCTATAAAGGGCCGTCTGTGTTTTTCGTGGCCGTCCTCCGACACGATTGGTTGAAGTTATTCAGTTAATTGCAATATAAAACTTCACCAGTAGGTGTCATCAAATCCTACACACTGGTCTTTTAATCACAAAAGAATGTTGAAAAACTGTTAATAAATATTAAAATGTTTGTGTATAAGTAGACGTTATAAACACAAAACACATTTTACGACTAAAAAATAAAAGTTTCTGACAAATACACTCTAAAAAAAGAAACAGCGTCCTTGAGCACTTTGTTATGTAGGACCAGACCTTAATAGTTAGTGGAAACAAATCTGTGAATAAAAAAAGTTTGGTAATTATTGGTGTATTACTTCTGCTGCTCATTCGGGCCCAGCTCCGGTTCCGCAGCTCATTCGGGCCCGGCTCCAGTTCTGTGGCTCATTCGGGCCCTGCTCCGGTTCTGTGGCTCATTCGGGCCCTGCTGCGGTTCTGTGGCTCATTCGGGCCCAGCTCCGGTTCTGTGTCTCATTCGGGCCCGGCTCCCCGGCAGTATTCGTAGGTAGGCTCATAACGTAACGTTAGCTTTCTGAGCAGAGGAAACTAGAAACATCTCCCGTTGCCATGTCGTATCTATGGTTTGTCCTAGTTACTGGAGTAGTGTACGTTATCATTGTATTAAAATATTATTGGATGGTAATGACCTCAGGTGTTACCGGGGAAACAGCCTTATGTTTAGTAAAAAAATAAAATAAAATAATGACCTTGTTGTCTTTCTTTGGTCATTGACTGTGGTATAAACAGGATAATGCCCTTCCAGGTGTCCATTATCAGGAATTAAAGGACTGTTGCCTCCACATTATAATACCAGTGTGATACCTCCTCAGAATAAAAAATACGACCACAAACATGGTGAAATATTGTTGGTCATTTATGGTGGAATTTTATGGACATTCGCACAGGATTCAGATCACATGACGTCCTCTGATAACGTACCAGCAGCACTCACACGGTCATTACAGCCACAATATGAACAATTTGTCTCATTTATATTCTATTAATTATATTTTATTTATCAGAACGTTTCTGTGTGTGTGTGTGTGTGTGTGTGTGTGTGTGTGTGTGTGCTCGTGTACTTCCTGTGAAATGTCTGACTGAGGTGCTGGAGGAAAGGTCAGGGGTCACCACAATGTTTAACCTGTGGGGAGTCTGAACTGATCTGATGAAGGTGGAATCATTTATTTTACATTTTCTTTCCATGTTTGATTTTCCTGCAGCAGGATCTTTGTCGTGGTTTCTTTCTCCCTCTTTGTTCATGTGACCATTTGATTTATTCATGCACTCATTTCTTTACTCACTGATCATAAGAAGTCAGGTCTGGTCCTCCGTACTGGGTGGCTGCTGTTTACAGGCTGGTTGTTATCCCATGTGCAAGCACACACACACACACACACACACACACACACACACACATACATACACATACACGCACACACAGACACACACACACACACAAATAGTCATATTTTAGCCTCTCTTTATTCCCGCGCCGATCGCCACCGCCACACTCAGAGCGAGCTCGCCGCCGCCAACCATCGAGGACTGCCATTCTCTTTTTTACTCCTCTCCAATTCTCCCCCCCTCTCCTCCTCCTCCCCCCTCCACATAACTACTGACGCCTTTGCCCCCCCCAACCCATCGCTTTAAAAGTACACAGTATGTCGAGTTTGACTCACCTGAGGAGACAGAGAACAGAGCGAGGGTGCCATTGGGACAACAGAAGAAGAAATAAAGTGATGTTTCGGGGTAAGCACAGTTTAGGAATAGTCCTTTACCTCTGTTCTCTCACTCAGTTTCTGTTCCTCCTCTTCCTTTTCCTTCTGTTCAGACATATTTCCTCCTTTCTGTTCCTCCTCCGTCGTGTGTCTGTGTTTTGTGTGCCTGATGACTCCATCTTTCTTTTGTGTTCCCTGTTTTGTTTTTGCATCTCCAGTCCTTCAGAAATG